ATAGACACTGATACACATATTCATGTCCACACATATTCTGTTGTCTTGGGGTCGTTTCTGTACTATTAACACTGAAGTTGAGTATACAACTAGCAGGGGTTATAGGGGTTGTACACTAAAATGACATCAGAAAAAAATGAGATAATTCTCAGGGACAACTAATAGAAACAGCTGATGATCAGTTAGTATGGGCACAGCTCTAAAAGAAACATCTTAACTATATGCAAAATGCAACTTTGAAGCCCAATATTAACTCAGTGTTAGCAACATTTATTAAACTAAGAAAGATCTAGTGACCAAGCTTATGAGAAAGAAATAATATGTCAGCCTATCACATGCTTGGTTGCTTTTAGTAGGCACACATAAAGGAAGTCAGTATCATAAACCAACCGCTATAATTTTCAAGTAACTTTCTAGAAATAAGATAACAACTTTAAAGTCACCGCTAATGGATGAGAAACTCCCCAGTGTAAAGAGAACCTAGTTTCTGCCCTCAGATACTGGTGTTTACTGTGTCCAGACCTCCTTGACTGCACTGAGCAATCTAACTTTCAGAAGATAGTCATTGAGCCTTCCCTCCTTTTGCCTATTAAATCCATGTTCCATTCTCTTGCAGCTGTTTTTACCACTCATGTTAAAAGCAGATGGAGAAAATACAAAAAACGACTCAGTTTTATCGCCATGTATAATCAGCATCTGGGCTGCGTATCACAGGAACAATCAATCCAAGTTCATATCTTACTTAGTATCATAAAACCCTTTTGTAGTTTCTAAAGTAAAGCAAAAGCTAAACATTACTGAGTGTGATTATAGATCTCACAACCAGCTTTTTTCAATCTTGATGGGAACTATATATGTGTGTTTATTATAGTTACAAAATTATCTAAAAACTATATTGCTAATTGATTTCTAAATATTATTTACTACCGTATATAAATCTCACACTAGAGATTCTGTCAGGTGATGGATTTATTGTTTTAAATAATGGGTGTTGATGACCAGTATATTTGCAGACATTTCCGTGTTCAAAACATATTTTCATTTTTTTTTTACCTTTGTACAAGGAAATACAATATATTTTTTTATTCTCTACTCTTACCAGTGTATTGTGGTGAGCATTTTTTCATATTTTTTTTCAAAACTTGAAGCTAAAACCCATAGTGAAGATGGCTTTCTAAGGCCCCTAAAACTAGTCATGGTGGATTCAGATTTAATCCTACTCTGTAAGTGCAAAGTTCATGCTTTTAGGGAACAAAGTAGTATTTTAAAAAAGCCTTTTACTTATGTATACCAATCCATATAAATACCTATTATAGAAGGCTTCTTAATATTTGAGATGTGGATGTTATTTTGTGTTGCTTTTTAAAAATAATTAAACTTGGAAAAACATTGAGAGAGTAAGAAGTGAATGTTAAAATAGACTAATTTGTTCTGTATCTCAGAAATGTATGCATAACTAGTTTGGCAATTTCTTAAACGTTCAATTGTGTGTTTTGTAGAATCCACACATATAACATGTAGCCCATCCTAACCACTGCATAGTGTTTTATGTCACAGAGCAGCAGGCCAGCAAGTGACACAGTGGAACTTCTCTGTTCACAGCTTCGCCTACACACAATTCCCATGTCCTAAAATCGCCAGGTTCACGGGGCAGCCTTCTTGATTCTTAAGTCTTTGAAAAAGCCTGAAGTTCCTGTGATCAGTTGCTGTTAGGAGGCACAGAAGGGTTGTGATTTAGGACATAAAATAGAAAGAAAAATGCAGAGCTAGCTCAAGTGAGGGAAGAAAGATCATTATTGGCTAAATTTCCTTGTGAGGACTTTGGACTTGTCCCACACAGTACAGTTAAATACCTCATCTCACTCAGCATTTAGCTAAAATAGCCTCCTAGTTTTAGGGAAGTAGTAATAGCCACACCTTTACATACATATGTATATACGTATGGTATATATGTATATATAGTAGAATACTGTAAATTGTGTAAATCCATAAAATAAAAATTATACATGAATATATGTATATTTCTATAAAATATAATTATAAAATGTTGTGGATTCAGGCACATAAATCTTGGGATTAAATTTATCCTGGAAAGTTTACATGAAATGAATCATCCTTGCCATATTAAGGCATTGAATATCTTTCCTATTCACTGTGCTAAATCTGTTTTTATTTTCTAAAAGAGAGGTAGCATACTCTCTCAAGGACTGGCATTTGGAAGGCTCTTAATTATGCTGCATTTTATCGTAATCATGCAGATGTGTTTTATCCATTACACTATCTGTTTCGATAATCTTGAAATGGTTTTAATTAGATTCTTCATGGAACAATGGATTCAAATGCGCACTCTTTGAAATTCAGCAGACTCTTTGCTAATATAATAAGCACAGGGCAGAAGTTAACAGAGCTAAGAGACATAAATATAGCTTTCCATTTTCTTAACCTGGAAATGCTGATATTTTTCTTATATTTATGGTTTGGTCAAATATTTTTTGCTTATTCTTTTCTCTGTTTTTTAGGAGATAATACATCTTTTATTAAATTTACTTATATATTTTTTTAATTTTTATTTTTTTCATATTCATCACAGGTTATTTACTTTCCCAGCTGTATCCCCCTCTCTCATTTCCTTTATTTATTACAATTTATTCACTTTGTATCCCAGCTGTGATCCCCTCCTTTATTCTCTCCCAATCCTGCCCTCCCTCCCTATTCTCCTCCCATGCCCATCCCACCACCCAGTCCACTGATAGGAGAGGTCATCCTCTCCTTCCATCTGATCCTAGCCTATCAGGTCTCATCAGGACAGTCTGCATTGTCATCCTCTGAGGCCTGGTAAGGCTGGCCCCACATCAGGGATAGGTGATCAAAGAGCCAGCCACTGAGTTAATGTCAAAGACAGCCCCTGTGCCCCTTACTAGGAACCCACTTGGAGACTGAGCTGCCCTGAGCTACATCTGTGCAGGGGTTCTGGGCTATCTCCATGCATGGTCCTTGGTTGGAGTATCAGTCTCAGAAAAGACCCCTGGGAGCAGATTTTTCTTATTAGGGGTCACCATTAGAGATGAATGTTGCTTAGTTTATAAAATGTATTCTAAATTTTCTGTTAAGTTTAAAAACAAAAACAAAAAACCTGTCACTCTACAAAGCTAACGGAGGTACATAACAGTTTATGGTTTGTCTATTAAATAAGGAAGGGATGAAAATGAAATGTTTTTGTTTGTGTCTGTCCATGACAATATGTCTCCCCATATAAGCATCAGTCTTTTTGATTAAGGAGTGCAATCATGTTTATCCTTAATGGACTGCTGAGACAGGGTGATTAAGAAAAAAATTAGCTGCTAAGTGTAAATAGCAGTACAAGCTTTTTCAAATGCCTTTTGTAGTTATGCCAAAAGTAAGCCCATAAGAAAAGCCAGAGACTCTATCAAGCATGCCATTTAATGTTCAGTGTCTTGCTACGTAAGTTTTAAGTGAGCAGTTTTCAATGTGAAATTTACATTATGGTACATCACTGTAATGAACAATACTATTGATGTCACTGCTTACATTTGAGGTATTACAATTCCATATAAAATCTAATATAATTTCATCATATATTCTCTTTGTTTTATACATTTTATAATACTGAATATTCAATTTCTGAAGGCTGTATTATGATTTATATTTGTGATTGATTAAATATAAATATTTTGAGGAAATTAATATGGATTGAGCATAATTTATCATAACAGTGTGTACTTATGGGCTAGAGAGATGACTCAGCACTTAAGAACACTTCTGGTATCATCATGAATAACTGATATCAAATCATAGAATCCATGTTGCAAGTGGAATGTCCTTCAAATGTCCAGAACTCCAGCTCAGATGGATCCAGAGCCCTCTTCTATTCCCATAGTCACAAGTGTGAAAATCTGCACACATCCATGTGTATGTATTTATGCAGACAAATATTCACTCTTAAATGAAACAACAATTTTAAAAACAAATTTTAAAAGCATACTAAACTGCTTCTGGAACAATTAGCAATTATTATAAGTATTCTAGATTTTGAGACAACATTAAACCATGATGAACATTAAACATTCCATGGAATACCTTAGGTCCTAAAGAAGAATAGAATTGATTGGGATAAATTTGTGGATTAAGAATACTTTTCATCACTTTTCAACTCCAAAACAGCATAATTTCTTAATATCTGTAAAGAATGCATCAGTGAATGACATTTATTGATCCCTTTACATTATTTTCAACAAACTAACATGGTATTATGAAACGTATTATGAACAAATTTTTTATTCTGCTAAAACAACTCAAAAACATTTTTACTTTTTATCATCATTATGTTATTATGGTTCCATAATTAACTGATATCTAAAGTTCCCTTGGCATTGACCAATTATTTCAAACTTCTTGTAATTCAACTTTAAGAATGGATCAAATCAGAAACAAACACTGTTTTTAAACCATCATTGCAAAAGGCACTGATCAATAGTACAGTAAAATAGCTTAGTCTTTGCTGTATTTAGAGCCTGTGAAAAGTATTATTTCTTAATACTTTGGCAAATAATTCAAATGCTAAGCCTGTGTGTGTGTGTGTGTGTGTGTGTGTGTGTGTGTGCGCGCGCGCGCTAGCAGACAGTCGACATCATATGCTATCTTCAGTCACTCCCCACTTATTTAATATTTACCCTAAATTTATTTCCTTGTATATGTAGGAGGTATGTGCAGGTGTTAATTCATCAATCCAGAGTCCAGATGAAGGCATTATATCCCCTGGAGCTAAGGAAACAGTTGTGAACTACCTGACAGGTGCTGATAACTCAACACAGGTCTTCTGCAAGAGCATATACAATCTTCATCACTGAGCCTTCTCCCCAACCCCAGCCAACTCCTTATTTTTAGACACAATCAATCTGGAGTTCAAAGTTCAAATTAGATTGTGGTCCAGCAACCTGGAATATGTGCCCATCTGTCCCACTCCAGCCTTTTGTAGACATATGCTGCCACACTCCACTATTTCCAGAGCTGCTAGGGATGCGAGCTCAGACTCTCATGTTCGCATTGTAGAGAGGTTTGCATTCGGCCTGCTCTCCTGGTATTCAATCCATATTTATTAATGTAGATGTTTTCCTGTATTCTGAGATAAACCTGCCCTTTAGAAGATAGCAACCTGATAAGGGGAAGGCAAGTATATACAAATACAAACATGTATATACATTTGTATGCCAACATATACATATGTAGACATATGGAAAAACACATATATGCATATATATATACTCATATGGACCTTTCTACACTTAAATATGTTCTATGAGTGCATATATATGTTCAAACGAGTGCAAATATATGTGTATATTTTTAAATCCAAATATGAAAATATTATTTACTCCAAATAGTTTAATATAAACATTTAACATCAGAGAATTTCCTGGAACTTTTAGAAAGGTAGTACATACAAATTTTTTTACTCAGTTCTAATTCTACAAAGGCCAAAGAATTTAAAATAATAGAAAATAAAGAGGTGCCACATTTAGGAGGAGCTGAAACAGTGATGCCGGTGAGGTGGCTTCTGGGGCTGTTCCCCTGGTATTTCCCTCTGGTTATTTCACCCTTTCACCCAACTCTCAATGTCTTAACCCTACCCCAGTGGTCCAGTATTCACTGGAGTCAGCTTCAAGGATCCAGAGCAGAAATGATAAGAAAGACTGTGAAATGACTTTTAGGTGCTGATAATATGGGAAAGAGCAAAGATGAGAGATAGCATAATTTCGGTGAACAAAAATATTTCCTAAATGACGTGGTCCAAGCTTCTCCTTTCTGTGGTTAGTGGCAGGGTGTGTGTTTCTCATTTTTCTCCAATAGCAGAAGCTTAGCATAGGGAGTACCCACAAGCTAATTTTGCTGTGATTTTTATCATATCATAAAAACATTCCACCTCTGTTTGGCTGCACTTTTCTGGCATGACTTTTATTGCAGTCACGTATCAAGTTAGCAGATGTGTACTGTCTTCTGAAGATATTTCTATTGTTTATAGTAGATTTTAGAATTTTGCCTCATAAGTGGCTTCAAAATTAATTTTGTGAGCATTCCAGTTTTTCCCGCTGGTGGTGCTTGCTCTCTTTAGAGGGTAAAGGGTTTAAAATTCACTATAGATCAGTATCTTCATATTTGAACTTACAGTTATTTTAAAAAATATTTTACATCTATGACCTGGAGAGGACAGGAGCTCCACAAGGACCAAATACATCAGGGCACAAGGGTCTCTTATGAGACTGTTTCTCCAACCAAGGACCCTGGATGGATATACCCTAGAACCCCTGCTTGGATGTAGCCCATGGTAGCTCAGTATCCAAGTGGTTACCCTAGTAAGGGGAACAGGGACTATTTCTGACATGAACTCAATGGTGGGCTCTTTGACACACACCCCCCACCGCCCCAAGGGAAGCAGCCCTGCTAGGCCACAGAGGAGGACTTTGCAGCCAGTCCTGAAGATACCTGATAAACCAGGGTCAGATGAAAGGGCAGGAGGTCCTCCCCTATCATTGGACTTGGAAAGGGGCAGGGAGGAAATGAGGGAGGGATGGTGGGGTTGAGAGGGAATGAAGGAGTGGTATACAGCTGGGATACAAAGTTAATAAAATGTAACTAATGCTAAAAAATTTTTAAAAAACTACAATAAAAAAGTATTTTACCTCTAAATCAAGTGCCTCTGTATATATCCTTTATTTACAGCTTATTAAAATATGCACCTAAATTTGTTTCTACAAATGCTTCCTACTCTATGTAAAAATTTGGACCAACTCAGGACTGATTAGTGACTGAATAGTACTTTCATTTTATAATTACCCTACTTTATTCCAATCTTGCTTCACATTTAAAAGGCAGCATGTTTAATTTTAGTACTGATTTCCAGAGGAAAAGAAGAAAAGATCTCCTATGAAAAACACTAACTTCCCTTTCTCATGTGAATCTTAGGTTTGAATTTAATGTGTCTAGGAATTTACTTCTGAAAATTTATTTTTAAACTTTCGTTGCAGACGTTTGGAGCAGAACTCCATCAAAGTCATCCCTCCAGGAGCTTTTTCACCCTATAAAAAGCTCAGAAGAATGTGAGTTAACAGTGTTGTACAAAATATGCCATTTTTAAATTATGTAGGTCAAGACTAGGCAAGGATAATTAAGCATGGATATTGAAGAGATTGACAACTTAATAACATGTGATTGCCAGTTGTATAATAGCACTTTAATCTTACTAGTGAAACCTTGTAATTTTTAATGTTCTCTGTAATTTAGTTTATTGATTTCCACAAAAAGTGGTCATGACATCTTTGGTACGGTATTGTCTAATTAAGGCATGCCATCTGTACTTATAACTTAAGCAAATGGATAGTGGCTGTTTTACAGAATGTGATTCATCTGTATATTTTAGGATTGTCCGATGCTTCATTCTGAAAGTTGCACATGTATGTTCATAGAGAGCATGTACAATGAATGCCCTTCTTCTGTAGCCGGGCTCCTGTCAATGTATGTCATTTAACCTAACCTTGTTTCTGATTGCAGCGACCTGAGCAATAATCAGATCTCTGAGCTGGCACCGGATGCTTTCCAAGGATTGCGCTCTCTGAATTCTCTGTAAGTCGACACAGCTTTGCTGGAGGAATCTAGATTTTCTCAACAGCCTGGGGCATCTATGTTTTCAGATCAAAAAAGAAAAAAAAATATCTCTTTTTTATGATGAGTTATGAATCCTTTATCTTCAGTTATTATTAACGGATTTCATCATCTCATGGAGGCCTGTTGTATATCATTAATCCTAGCCAGTTTTTAGGGTATAATTTGTGGGTTTTTTTTTTTCATTTTGTTTGTTTGTTTTTCTTTAAAGGTTTGTTATTAAAATAAGAAGAGCAGTTGCTTTGGGAAATTTGTTTTTTTTTTTTTCAGCTATAATTAGGGGACAGTTTATTTTGAAGTACTCTGGACAGCTCTAGATTTATGGTCTCTTAGTCTATAGCTTCATGTGTCTCAGCACAGTACAGTGTGGGTCCTTTTAGAGTGACAAACCTTGCCCAGGCATCACTGAGAATTAGTAAGCAGAGCCCTGAGAGCCATCCTTTGAGCCTTTCCTCAACACAGGAGGATTGTCTATCCCCAAAATAGCCTCATAAAAAGCATTAGTTATGAAGCTCAAGAGGACTTTCAGGAACATAGCTATGCAAATTGGAGAGCAACTAAAATAAGTTACTAAAGGTTACCATTATTACAACTTATACAAAATTTTCTAACTGTATCAAGTAAAATAATCTTTAGTTGTTTTATAATTTGTATGTAAAGCTTGGCTTGCTCACTTGTTAAGGGTTTCAATCGATAAAAATTATAGCCAGCCTCTCAGGTTTCAGAAATCAACCCCTTTCTCCTTCTCCCTAGAGTATCTTGTAATAAGTAGAGCAAAATCTGGTTTCACATGTTTTTTTCCTACCTCATCTCTTAAGATCTCTGTAAACATCTTCAAGTATATATTTAGGTCAGTTTGATTGATACATCAACTGGAAATGTGAAACACCTCTACAACACCTCTACAAAATGTTCATTAAAAAACTGAAATAGAAACAATTTTAAACTGTATTAATTAATTAATTTCGAAAATAGTGTCCTGTCATAGAGAAGTCAAGGATTAATGTACAAAGATTCTTATGACCACTCTTCATATAATTTACTATTATTAACATTGATACTTATGTCTTATATTACATTTTATGCTCCTGTGAATTAATATGGCATACAATGTATTATTAGCACAATATCTTTTAAAAATCATACACATATAATTGAATGATATTTTTCCATGCGGACAAAACATGTTCACATTTTATATTTATTGATATTTCTATGTGTGCTTGTGTGCATGAGTGGAGATTGGAAGACAATTTACAGACATTCAGTCTTTCCTTTCACCTGTGGGCCCCAGGGATTAAATTCAGGTCCACAGTTTTGGCAGGCACTTTAACGTGCTGAGTCATCTCCCTGCCTACATCATGGATTTTTGTTTTTCTCACTGTGACAACACTAAAATTTCTGAAATGTTTAAAAGACTTTGAGGGAAAGCATACAGGACAGAATACTATGCTCTCTGTAGTTGAATTGATTCCTCTTTTAATCTTGTGGGAGGATATTCACAGACATTCACGTCGGTGTGCCGTGAGTGGAGAATAGCAAACAACTTTGGTTGTAGGTTTCTGCTTCCACTCTGTTTATGACAAGATCTCCTTTTCTCTCCCTTTGGACACTTCAGGCTAGCTGGCCTGTGAGTTTCTGCAGATTCGCGACTCCTGGCTCTCGTATCCTAGACGCAGAGAGCAAACTGCTAGAGATGACAGGCACGGCCGTGGCACATTGCTTGCCTCCTGCACCTCCGTTTGAATGTTTCTGGATTTTAAGTGTTCCAGAGAGTGTCCATGCCCCAAATCCTTAGCCTGTGAGCACCTGCTTCTCTTCATTTTAAACTAGTACATTCAGAACTACCCCAATTCACTGGCAGGGATGGGGAATGGCTGTCTAAACGCCCATAGTACTCTTGTAGAAGACATCAACTTATTCCCAGGGCCCATGTCAAGTGTGGATGTCAGCAACGACATGCACATTCCCCTATAAGAAATATATCTGGGCACAGGGTCTTTTCTGAGACTGACACTCAACCAAGGACCATCTATGGATATAACCTAGAACTTCTGCTCGGATGTGGCCCGTGGTAGCTCAGTAACCAAGTAGTTTTCCAAAGTAAGGGGAACACGGACTATTTCTAACAGGATCTCAAGGGCAGGCTGTTTGACACCCCCCCCTCCAGGGGAGGAGCAGTCTGTTAGGCCACAGAGGAGGACTTTGCAGCCAGCCCTGAAGATACCTGATAAAACAGGGTCAAATGAAAGGGGAGGAGGTCCTCCCCTATCAGTGGACTTGGAAAGGGGCAGGGAGGAGACCAGGAAGGGAGTGTGGGGTTGGGGAGGGAATGAGGGAGCGGGATACAGCTGGGACACAGAGTTAACAAAATGTAACTAAAAAGAAAAATAAAATTTAAAAAAAAGATACTCATATACCTAATAAGATAAAATCTGTAGTTTTATTTTCACTTACTCTAGTTTCCTGTCTTCATCACCTACTTTCCAAGTTTCTTCTCTAATTGATTTGCATCCATAAGAAAAATCTGTATGTTTGGTCTGTGTAAGTGACCTTTCACGTGTGTGGGAAAGCTGTAACACTGGAATGTGAACAAATGCACTGTCTCTCCTTACATTGTGTAGCACCCTGATTTTTTTCTATTCCTTTGATAATTTTCCTCCTACTTAACAGTACATCCCACTCTCCTCTGAGATCTTAAAAGAGAAACAGTAGTTCCTTCATCCCAGGAATATCTTTTCCATTGCATGTCCATCCTTTATACATTAGAATCATATACTGCTGTTGAGCAATTACTCATTTAACCCCAATTTCTCAGCTTTCGTTTATGTCCCTCAGCACTCATCTACCCTTTTTTCTAAAGAGCATGTTTCTGGTTTGAAAATTATGTTTATTGTGTAAAATGCACAAACATATTTTAAAAGGTCCACTAAAATAACCTCTAGAAGGCAAAACACTTTCTACCTAGGTTGTAAATGTATATGTCCATATTTTCAAAGAAATGTATGTAATATTACTAATAAAACTTACTGCATTTAAAATATCTAGCCTTGTATTATAAGTTCTTTCGTGCTACAAAATAGCTTTCAAACTTTAACTTTTAGTTATATCTAGGGCTATTTTCTTTCTTTTTTTTTTTTTTAATGAGACAAGGTTTCAATGTGTAATAGGCCTGGCTGTCCAGGACTTGCTTTGTGGACCAGGCAGACCACATATTTATAATGATCCACTTGCCTCAGCCTTCCGAGTGCTGAGATTAAAGACAGGTGCCACCACTCCTGGTTTGGGTTCTTTTCTTTTTTATTTATTTTTATTTTATTTTTTTATTAATTACAGTTTATTCACTTTGTATCCCCCCCATAAGCCCCAACCTCCTTCCCTCCCAGCCCCACCATCTCTCCCCCTTCTTCTCGCTTGCCCCTCCCAAGTCCACTGATAAGGGAGATCCTCCTCTCCTTCCTTCTGATCTTAGTCTATCAGATCCCATCAGGAATGGCTGCATTGTCATCTTCTGTGGCCTGGTAGGGCTGCTCTCCCCTCAGGGGGAAGTGATCAAAGAACAGGCCAATCAGATTATATCAGAGGCAGTCCCTCTTCCCATTACTATGGAACCCACTTGGATACTACGCTGTCATGGACCACATCTGTGCAGAGGTTCTAGGTTATCTCCATGCATGTTCCTTGGTTGGAATATGAGTCCCTGGGGAGACCCCTGTGTTCAAATTTTCTGGTTCTGTTGCTCTCCTTGTGGGGTTTCTGTCCTCTCCAGATCTTACTATTTCCAACTTCTTACTTAAGATTCCACGCACTTTGCCCATCAGTTGGCCTTAAGTCTCAGTGTCTGCTTTGATAGTCTATAGTGTAGAGCCTTTCAGAGGCCCTGTGTGGCAGGTTCCTAGGTTGTTTCCTGTTTTCTTCTTCTTCTGATGTCTATCCTCTTTACCTTTCAGGATGGGGATTGAGCATTTTAGTCAGGGTCCTCTCTCTTGATTAGTTTCTTTAGATGTTCAGGGTTTTAGTAGGTAGACATCCAAAGTGTGTCTTGAATTATATCCTTTAAATTTAAATATGCCTATGAATTTTAATATATATAGTCAAGGGCAACTTAAGAATAAAACTTTTAACTTCTATACATTTTTCTTTTTTTAATTTTAACTTTTATTAATTGCACTTTATTAACTTCGTATCCCTCCATAAACCCTTCCTTCCTCCCCTCCCAATCCCACTTCCCCTCCACCTTCTTCAAGTCCACTGGTGGGGGACGTCCTCCTTTCCTTCCTTTTGATCTTAGTCTATCAGATTTCATCAGGAGTCGCTACATTGTCATCTTCTGTAGCCTGGTAAGGCTGCTCCCCCCTCAGGGGAAGGTGATCAAAGAGCAGGCCAATCAGATTATATCAGAGGCAGTCCCTCTTCCCATTACTATGTAACCCACTTGGCACTGAACTGCCATGGGCTACATCTGTACAGGGGTTTGAGGTTATCTCCATGCATGGTACTTGGTTGGAGTATGAGTCTCTGGAAAAAGCCCTGTGTTCAAATTTTCTGGTTCTGTTGCTCTCCTTGTGGAGTTCCTGTCCTATCCGGATGTTACTATTTTCCACTTCTTTCATAAGATTCCATGCACTCTGCCCAACAGTTGTCCGTAAGTCTCAGCATCTTCTTTGATAGTCTGCAGGCCAGAGCCTTTCAGAGGCCCTCTGTAGCAGGTTCCTAACTTGTTTCCTGTTTTCTTATTCTTCTGATGTCCATCTTCTTTGCCTTTCAGGATGGGGATTGAGCATTTTAGTTAGGGTCCTCCCTCTTGATTAGTTTCTTTAGATATACAGATTTTAGTAGGTTTATCCTATATTACATGTATATATGAGTGAGTATATACCATGTGTCGTTTTGATTCTGGGACAGCTCACTCAGGATGATCCTTTCCAGGTCCCACCATTTACCTACAAATTTCATGATTT